TATTAGTTAAAGGAATTAGTCAATTAAATAACCAAATAGCTAATTATGAATTTTTCGAAAAATTTCTAGTTTAATACCCTCAATATTTAAATTCATATTAAAATTTATAATTAAACTATACATATAGCAAGAAATTCAATAACGAAGTCAGAATCAAAATCAGATGGCTAATTTTTCATTTTTTTTTTCTTCCCTTTCTTTCCGTGGCGTTCTGTTTCCTCTGCTCGAATGTGAGGGTTTTGTTTGTTTCTTTCCTTTCAAATATATATATATATATTATATATATATAACTATTATTATTATTATTATATTTATCAACATCATCATCCGCCGCTAGCATCATCATTACTTTTATATATATAAATATTATATTATATAATATATTTTATATTTATCTTTATCAATATTTATCTTTTAACAGTCTTTTCAATTACAATCAATATATAAAATAGGAATAAAATTTATTCTAATATATTAATTTCTTGATCTCAAAATATTATAAAAATATTTATTTGTTATAATAATATTATATTATACACTCCGAAATCGAAACATTACAGTGGACATAAATAATTCTCGGGCACCGGAATTGTTATTGTGGCAGCGTCTTGGTAAGATGTAAAGACACATTTCTTCATGGCGTCTTGGATAAAGAGATTTACATGATATTGTCCGAATATGATGCGGCAGAGGAACAAGGAAACCTGATATGAAAGTAAAGAAAAAATGTCTTAAGCAAGCATTGAGATAGTGGTACCCGAACTTTGATGGATTCATACACGAGATTGGCTTCTAAAAATATAATGCTGACAATTGCTGCTACTTTAAGAAGTTTGAAAGTTCATATAGAATACTTCTATTATATGGGGATGATATGCTATCAGCAGGGCTTGTGTTCGAGAGGTTTTGAAGTTGAAGCAGCAATTGGCAGAAAAATTCTCGAAGAAAAATATTAGAGAGGAAAAACCAAATTTGGGCTTGGGAATAATTTGAGACCGCGACAATGGGAGGTTGAGTCTCAGACATGAAGAATATATGAAGACAAGAAGAATATATGAAGAATATCCTAAGGAGGTCAACATGCATTATACAAAACCAATGAGCACGCGATGGTTGGTACAATGCCAGACATAACACCTGCAGTGGAAGTAATGAGCTGATTTATGAAAACTACTGAAAAGCAACATTGAAAAATAGTAACTGAATACTAAGGTGTCTACGAGGTACTACATATGAGTCATTGATTTTCGAGAAAATGAAACCTTAACTAGCTAGATTTGTGGATGCACTAAGAGAAAGTGATTATGATAAGAGAAAGTACATTTAGATATATGCTCACTTACAGAGGAATAACGATATCATGAATATCGAAGATAAAAAAATTGGTTATTTTTTCAACAACAGAAGTTGAGTACATTGTAGTAATGGAGGTTAACAAGAAAATGATTTTGTTACATAACTTAGTTGGAAAATAATCCAAAAAATAGCATTTTTTATAGGAAAATCTATAGCATAATATACATGGAAAACAAATATGCATTTCATGCAAGAACGAAACATATTGAATTGAGATTCCATTACATTCGTGAGCTATTGGATAGAGGATTCTAAAATTATAGATGACTCAGGGATCGAAAATTCAATGGATAACTCCACTAAGATGGTAACATTATATAAATTGAAATACTAGTTGAAGATGAAAAGCAAATTAGAAAGTATATGAACTTCAAGTGAGATATTGTCTGTTGTGAAGTCTAAGCTAGAGTTTGAAAACATACTGTACATCTAAATATAAAGATATATTTGATGTGTTATCCCTCTATAACATTAATATATATTTGATTTGATTTCTTTTTATTATTTCTTAAATTCCTTGATTTTCAGTTTTTTGTAACAGAAGTAATGGCCATTCTTAGGGCACAACGATTAAATTACTTATATCAACAATCAACTCAATAAATAAATAAAAATATTATTTTAACAAAGTATAATCTTCCATGTGTATAGAGGCCCCTATGGGCCTTTTACCGATGCCAGGGACAATGGGCAATTGAAATAAATTGTAAATGTACAATTGCATGCAGATGGATTTCATTCAAAATAATATTTTATCTTTTTATTGATTTTTTTTTTAAAAGAAATTATTTTATAGGCTGATTCATTATATATTATATACTATTATTATTGTTATTATGGACATGGATTTCATGTTGATTTGGTCATATGACTGGATCAATATATAATATATATATATATATATATCTATATATATAAACAACATATATTATAACACTGCATAGGATAACTTATTATATAACATATATTGTGTTAGATAAGAGTATATATTATAATATATTTGATCCTGTTAAATCATAGTGTGATAATATTTTATTATATTTGGAGAATAATAAAATTGTAAATTAAAATAATTATTTAATTTGATATAAATAAACATTAATGTAATATTTTAAAAAAATAAATTTAATATATTAAATAAATAAATAAATATTGAAAATAAAAATTGTAATACTCCCAATTCTTTTACAAACATAAGTAATTTTTAATATAATTAATTTTTTATAGAACAATCGATGTATAATGCTTCCAATTTTATATTATCACTTTTTATAATCTTAAATAACAAAAAAAAAAAAAAAAAAATTAAATTTATTTTTCAACGATATATTGAATACTATTTAACATAAAATAATTTTTTTTGCATGATACAATTTTGGTATTAATACAGTTGTATTGTGAGTAACTCTAATATACATATTTTTAGGGTGCGTTCGTTTGTAGAATTTTAACAAAATTCTACTATTAATCCAATTTTTTCCCCTAAAAAATATCAAATCAAACACCTATTTTTTATTTTTTATATTATACTAAAAATTAATTTTACATTCAAAATATCACATCAATACCTATTTATATCACATCATACAACTATTCAAATTCAAAATTTTTACTATTCAAATCCCAACTCAAAATCCAAACCCCCAAACAAACACACCCTTAGTAGATTTATAAAAATCATAATAATTATTTTTCTAATATATATTTATTAACATGTTGTAATACTCCCGAAGTTCAATAGTTATATGAGTCAGGGAGGATGTGATACTTGAAGTTGAATAGAGTTAAACGGATTGAATAGAGTACACATGTCAACAATGTACATATTTTTTTTCGAGAGCCCTACAAAAACTTTAAAGTTAAGCTTGCTTCCCTTAGAGTAATTTTAGGATGAATAACCTCTGTTAAGTCTCTCAAGGTGCACGTGAGTAAGGATAGAGACCTGCTGGAAAGACTCGCGTTGACTTGTGGGACCAGTCTAATCTAAGTCGAGATGTCATAGTTGGTATCAAAGCAAGTCGGGGAGGATGTAATACCCCGGAGTTCAATAGTGATATGAGTAGTGGAGGATGTGATACCCCCGAAGTTGAATAGAATTGAATAGACTATTTATTACAACAATGTGCACATTCTATTTTCGAGAATCCTATTGAAGGAATATAAACATGTTGGAAGAACTCGTGTTGACCTGTGAGATCAGTCTAATCCAGGCCAATGTGTCACAGTTGGTATCAAAGCTAGTCGGGGAGGATGTAATACCCAAAGTTTAATAGTGATATAAGTAGGGGATAATGTAATACCCCCGAAGTTGAATAAGATCTAATATATTAGATTATTCATGTCAACAATGTGTACATTCTTTTTTCGGAGTCCTATTGAAAGAATAAAAGCATGCTGGAAGGACTTATGTTGACATGTGAAGCCAATCTAATCCCGAAACGTCTGGTCAGCGTGACTTGTGGGCCGGGGTGTCACACATGCATTATATATATCAAAGAAAAAGTAATATTCCGTCGTTTCTAAAAAATTATGCAATTTTGTTTGAATGCGAAAAATTAAGAAAACAATATCATTTTAATATAAAAATGAGTATAATGAAAATTTTATTAAATGGTTGATGAAAAATAATGAGTAAATAAAAAAGTACCGATAAAATAATTATTATGTGTTAAAGTAAGAATAAAAAAAATTATAAATAGAAAAATAATTTTATTATAAATAAATTATATATAGATTTATCAGACAACAAAAAAGCTAACTAATTTTAACGGATAAAATAACTGCATATTATTAACACACGGTGTGTAGTATAAGTGTCAAATTTGCTAAGAATTTAATTCTAATTCAATATTTATTATGGATGTGTCATATTTTAATATTTTTAGTTTAATAAGTGAATGATATGTTTTAAGAGAATAATATATTTTTATTAAAGAATCTAAAAATTACATAGTAAAAACTTCAAAAAAATCACCAAATAAATATAATCGAAATGTTTTCAGCTATCCAATAATAAAGTTTAGAATTTGTTTAAAAGTATAGTTTAGTTGGGACAAAATTACAATTACGTACACTTAGTATATGATTCAATTTTAACTAAGAATCAATTACATATGTATAATAGTAAAATTTATTATTATTATTATTATTATTATTATTATTATTATTATTATTATTATTATTATTATTAAAAAAATATTATACTTGATATTTATTTAAACATTCATTTCATATAAAATGTCGTACTTATGACAAGTTTTTTTGCTTAATTTACTTTTGTCATAGTTTTTTAGGTAGTATAATTTTAATAATTTTTTTCTTTTTGTATTTATGTATTTTGAGCAAAAAAGAAAAGATTGTCTATAAATAAAGAAAAATTGCAAAAGTTTTTTGACTGTCTTAGAAATGGTAGCAAAATTTTTTGAAAATAATAAAAGTATAAGTATTTGATGTGATGTTTTACAGGAGAAAATATAAATTTGATATGATATTTTTTGAAAAAATTATAAACATTGATAAATAGTGTCAATGTGTATATTTATATTAAACCAAATATTTATTTTTTAATTTGTATTATTCTCAAAAATTCAAACACTTCCACAATATATCTAAATACATTTAGAATCGATAAATTTCCAATCGAAAACACCAAATATACTTAATTTTATTTCTATGCATCCATAAGTGCAACAAGCTCAAAGTACGTTACGACAAACATCATACGTAAAGATGTCTGCGACCTACAATAAGGATACATGTCCGAGATTGAAACCAAGCTTAACACATCATATACGATGCAAATTCACAATCAATTCATCTTCTTGAACATTAAATAAGTCGAAACCATATCATATATATATATATATATATTCTCTAACACCTCAATCCTTAATCTTCTCGACCATTAACTGTGCGCCGTGTTGAGGCTGAAGAGTAACCATTGCCCACGGAGCATGAGAATACGATGGCGAAAGCTTAAAAGCAAAGCGTTGAAGAATCATAGCCATTGCAGTTTTGGCTTCTGCCATGGCGAAGTTTTGGCCCACGCAAATCCGAGGCCCATATCCAAATGGAAGATATATCATTTGGCCGCCTGTAGCGTGGGAAATTCCTTCGCTAAACCTCATTGGGTTAAATTCATTTACATCGTCACCCCATATCTTTTTGTCGTGGTGCAACAAAATGATCGGCAATATAAGTTGCACCCCGGCCGGTAGAGTTAAGTTCCCTATTTTGCTATCTTCCATAGCCATTCGAATGCGCATGTATGATGGCGGATATAACCTCAAAACCTCGAGTAATATCATGTTTATCTGCATAAAAATATAAAAAAAAAACAAAAAAACAAAAATGAAGGACAATTGTTCATATTGGAATTGAATATAATACTCGCTCCGTCCGCCTCTAAGGTTCACATTTATATTTTGCGTCATTATACTTAACATTAAAAATATCCTTATATTTGTATAATTTTTTGTATAAATATCCTTATATTACACTACAAAAAAATAATATATTTGTAACGGAATTCCGTCCCTAAAGTTCACGTAGCTGACGTAATTCCATTCCTAATTCCGTCTCTAATGTCATTAGTAACGGAAAAAGTAAATTTAGAGACAAAAAAGTTTTGTTACAAAAATGATTTTTTCTTGTAGTGTTAGTATTATAAGACACTAATAAAAATATTTTTGCAATTTTTATTTAAGTTGTACTACGATTTGATATAATAATATTAAAAAATCAACACACAAAAAGTAAATGAGAACCTTAGAACCGGACGGAGGTAGTATGTAATTAATGATGTATTTTTCTACTAACTTAAACTTTTAGATGAGATAGCTATTTAACAATTCGAAAAACATCTAATGATTGTTGTATATATGAAAGACATTTTTCTTTATAAGATAGGTGAAAGCGAAGATGTCGAAAATACTTACGATTTTGAGCTGGTTTAGCTCTTGATAGTCGGGTTTTCTTTTACCAAATAGTTGAAGAACCTCGTCTCTTGCTCGAGATTGCCAATCCGTATGCTTCCCCAATAGAATCATAGTCCAAACAAGTAGAGTCGAGGTAGTCTCTTGCCCGGCAAAGTAGAAAAGCTTGCACTCTTCGATCACCTCCTCCATGCTCATTCCAAACTTACTTCCCCGCGCTTTGATTTCCTTGCTATTTGATTCCAATAGCAATCCAAGTAAGTCCTCGCCACTACCCTCACCGGATCTCATCGATTTCAGCCGTTTCTCGATGATTCTCATCACAGTCGACTTTACTTCCTTTCTTATTTCCTTGATTCTTCGATTGTGTTTTGTCGGTAAAAACCTATAAAAGAATGGAAATGGATCTATTACTTTGTTCTCTCGTTCAATCAATATATATCAAAGAACACAATGAAATAACAAACCTCGACCCTGGGATGTAAACCGAGCGCTCCATGTCCATGACTAGGAAGGCTTGCTCACATTGAAGTTCAAATATTTTTCTTCCTTCTTCGAAGCTACTTCCAAAGGCAGTGCGCGAAATGACATCGCTTGTGAGAGTTTGAAGATAATCCCACAATTCCAATTCACACGCCCCTTCGTTCGGGATAATCTCATCCCATTTGCTCAACATTTCGGCGCAACTCAAGTAGAACGATGGAACCATGAGCTACAAACAAAAGAAAAAATGATTGTGTATATGTTTCCATCATATTTTTATTTTTTACCATCGCGGGGTGTGTTTCCTCGTGATGTTTTTGTTTTGAATTTTGATTTTGAATAGTAAAATTTTGAATTGAAATGTTGTTTGATGTAATATAAATATGTATTGATGCGATGTTTTGAATGTAAAATTAAATTTTAGTGTAATAAAATAAATAAAAATTAGTTGTTTGATTTGATGTTTTTGAAAAATAAATAAAAAAGTTAGATAGTAAAATCATAGGTAAAATCTTATAAATAAACAAAGCCTTAGAATATTTATATCAAGTACTTACTTCTTCACATAGAATATTATATCAAATACTCAATATTTTACGGTACCTTGAGTTTTTCAACGTGGAATGCCGGGTTGACAAGCTTTCTATGCTTCGCCCATTTGTCTGTCTCCAACGAATCAACTCCGTTCGACATACGTCGAACCTCCGGAGTTGGCGGCTTTTGGAAGGCATCAACCTTCGAAAAAATGTCTCGGACATATTCAGGTTCCCAGACGATCACTGTTGGTTTTGACCCGTACCATAGAAAGCTATACTTGCCTGCCGTGCAAAGAGAGTTTTGTGATTATAGATTGTTTGATTTGTAACCATTCTTTATTTGTAAACAAAATTTTACATTTTTACCAACTAAAAAACAATTTATAAAAATAATAAAAAAGTTTATTAAAATTATAGCACTTAAAAATTAGCAAACAAAATGGAACAAGAAAACGTATTTCTTCTGTCCCAAAAAAGGTGTCGTGGAGAATTAAGAAATAATAATATTTAATTAAAAGTAGATAAAATATAAATGTCTAAAATGCCTTTGTTTTTTTAAGGGTTTTAAAGAGTGAGTTCGAATAATAATTAGGGAGAGTTTTGAAATAATTTTGTTGTAAAGTGGAGACCACCGTTACTGAATAAAAAAAACATAATAATTGTTTTGGGACCGACGAAAAATAAAAAAACAAGAATTTGGAAGGGAGAGAGTATTAAATCAAAATAGAAAAAGGAAGTATTACATGTGTATGCTTAGTGTTTAGTTTGAGGTGTTTTTGTATGTTAGGTATATAAAAAAGTGTTGGTAATATGAAAATGAAGTATTAAATGTGTTGTTTGTATTTTTAGTTCAGAGTCATTTTTTTTTATATATATATATTAGGTATTGAGAAGAGTGTCAATAATGAATAAACTAAATTTTTATGTTAAATTGTTAATATTTAATAAATAGATAGAATATATATTATGTGAGTTTGTGTAGATATAATATATTATATTTTTTGATAATATTAATAGAAATATGTATCACTTTTATTATATTTTTGGGTGAAACATGGATAATTTTAATACATATATTTTTAAAATTGTTTTATTGATATATCATCTATACTAAAATATTTTTCTCTTTTTTAACTACCTTATTATTGTACTATTCTTCCCTTCAAAATAATTATTTCTATTTAATACTCCATCCGTCTCAAAACTATAGTCTAAGTTGTATTTGGCACGAGATTTAAGGAATATTAATATTATATTGGTAGTTAGTAAAAAGTACGGATAAAAGACTTTTTTTTGTTTACGAGTGTTTTAGTATAACAAGTAGTGACAATTGTGTAATAATAATGAAATAATAAGGGTAGTTTTACAGTGATACGATTATTTATGAAAATGAAACTATTGTTTTGGGACAGACAAAAATAGTAAACAAGACTATTGTATTGGAACGGAGGGAGTACATAAATTAAAAATTAAAACAAATTTGATCGAAACTTTCGATCGTATTAATATAAGTCCTTAATAATTAATCTTAGACGATTAATTAGGCTTTGTTACTTTTGAATTTTTTTTTATCTATCTTTTCAATATGTAATTTCATCGGTTCTTAATAAAAAAAAAAGATATTTATTTTTTAAACAAAATATGTTTGTTTGTTTAGTGATTTATTTTAATTTTTTATTTTATTTTATTTGACGTATAGAAAATTGCATCGGTAATATTAAAAATACTCCCTCCGTCCCAGATACCATGTCCACGTTGCCGTTTCTGTCCGTCCCACGTACCATGTCACTTTCCTTTTTTGGAAAATCATTACACTCTTTAATCTCATTTTAAATTTTTTAATTTTAATTAAACTAATTAGTTATCTTAATCTTAATTTATAATTATTTATATTATATGATAATTATTTTTACTAATATACTTTTAATTATCTACTAATTACACCTCTCAGACACGGTATTTGGGACGGAGGGAGTAATATTATATATTGAATGTTGATTTTTGTCGGAAGACAAAATATATATATATATTTGGAATGGAAAAAAAAAAAATGTGGCAAACAAACCCTATCTATATATATATATCACAATTATTTTGCATAAAACAATAAAAGTGAAAGAGTAAAATCTAAAATACAAAAACCACTCGTTCGAGTAGTTTAATTATAATAATAATAATTCATAAACAAGAATACCATATTTCTTGAGACACTGATCGAGTTCGGGGACAGCTCTGGTCACAATATCGTCGGATAAACTCATGGGCTTCGACCACACTTCTTTCTGCAACCTCGTCATTTCCTTAAAGTCTCCGAAGAAGAACCTGTAAGGATTTCCATGGAGGCCTTGCTGCCTCAGGCACTTCTCGAGCCTCTTCGGCCTAAACCACACCCACTCCAAGATATTCCAAGCACAAAACGATACGATGACTGCTGCGCAAGAAAGAAAAATCATCGAAAACATCCCCGAAACCTCCATTGATCTCTTACCACTGATTCGACCAACTGCTTGAAGATGGTTCGGGGTTTATATAAGCCCTCTATCTAGTCTTGATTATGTTTTATGAACAAATAAAAATATTTGTGGTCCATTCAATAATAATAATAATAATAATAATAATAATATGAATGGTTATAATAAGAAGAATAAGAATAAAATAAGCTTGTTAACAAAGCTTTTACCCATCATTATTAAGCTTTTGTATTAACAAAACTTGGATATATCTTTTATAAGATTAAGATAATATTTTAATAAAAATCATTAAAACTAAATAGTAAAAACAAAATTCTAAGTTTTTCACTTCTCTTCTAAAATCATTTATCTTTATTTCTCATAGGTATTCAAGAGAAATCAAAATAGAAAATAAAAAATAGTTTATTCCTAAAATTCTAATTTCTTAACTCAAAAATAAATTAAATATATATATATACTCCCTCTGTCCCTGCAGGGTTGTCATTGGCTTTTTGCATATTTATCTTTGAATATTAATTATTATATCAAGACGTAGTACAAATCGAGAAAAAAAAAAGACAAGAATATGTTTATTAGTCTCTTGTAATACCAATACAATGGCATTTTTAGAGTAAATTATTCAAATATAAGAATATTTTTAATGTCAAATATAACGACGCAAAAACTAAATGACAACCTTGCTGCGGGACGGAGGGAGTATATCTTTTGTCTATTCACTGCAACAAATAGAGTTTGTTTTTTTAATCAATTTTTTCAAATTTTATTATGTATTTTTCAAAAAATATATAATTCTTTCTCTCACAAAACCTTCAATCAAATATTATTTTAATATCTAATTCAAAATAACTTTTTTCTAACTCAATCAAAACAAAGACATTCTTACATCCTACATTATAAACTAAATGTGATTGTTTCATCATTATTATTATTATTATTATTATTAATATTATTGTTGTTGTTGCTGCTGTGGTTAGGACCTTAAGTTTGGTTTATGATAGTTGAAGTTGAGAACAAAGATAGGATTTCATGTTTATTTTTTTAGTATTTATAATTTATTTGAAATTTTTTATGTATTAAGAATTATTAAGAATTATGAAAGTGTTTTAAAATTTTATGATTTTATTTGAGTGAAATATTTTTTTTACTATTTTTAAATATTTTTATTTAAAAACTTTAAATAGAAATCTTAATTGAAAAGTGTATTAAATAATAATAATAATAATAATAATAATAATAATAATAAAAACAACATAAAAACTAATAAAAATATGAGGCAGTCCTCCGTTCAATTATTGGCACATGAAGACAAAAAAAAAAAAAAAAAAAAATACAAATAAAAAAATAAGACATCACGCGCGAGTCCCTCGTGGTACCATTTTATATTATTATATTTGGAATCACGATGGGTTTGTTATATTAGTCTTTTTTGAATGAAAGCACATTTTTTTGTATTAATTACATATAAATATATCGATAATATAGAAAATATTTTTTTGTTTTAATTAAATTATCTATTTTAGTTGAGCACGTAATTTTAAGTATTGCATAATTACTAAGTAATTAAAAAATATATTAATAAAAAAAATCATTATAATTTATTAAAAATAATAATAAATTAAAGTTAAGATGACTAAATTGTTTACTTAAAATAAAATTATGAATTTTAAAATGTGATTAAAGTGTATAATTATATTTTCAAAAAATAAAAGAACAAATTATATAAGACGAACGGAAATAAAAAGAGTGGACAAATTATATGGGATGAAGGGAGTAATATTTATATTGAACGGTTAATATTTTGTAGTAGATCAGGGCGGCTCATAGAACGAGGAGAGTGAGCAATTACTAAGGTCCCTAATTAATACAGGCCCATATTTTAAAATATTATTAATTGTTATTATTAAATTTTAAAATTAAATTTTAAATTTTAGTTTATATATTTTTTTTTCTTTATAATTGTCTAATTTAATTTTAAAATTAAATTTTAAACTTTAATCATATATATTTGTTTTCTCTTTCTTCTTAACCATATCTCACCTTATCTTTCCAAATGTAATAATTGTTTACACTTTTTTACCTTACACCTTGTTGCATTGCGCCTACCAACTCAGACCAAACCCGTCTCACCTTCCTTCTTATCTCTTTCAGCCTCCTTCAGTCTTTCTCGCTTTTCAAACTTTTGGACAAACTGTCTTTTATCTGTTTTTTCTCAAATTGACATTGTCCAGACCGTCACGTTCAACCTCTTGTTGAAAATACATCTTAATCATGTATTTATAAGGCCTATAATTTATTTTCGCTTAGGGTCCCAAAAAAGTTCGAGACGGCCCTGTGGTAGATTAATTATAGATTATATATATTGTGTTAATGTGTGTGTTATGAGAAAACGAGAAAGAAAGCAAATAAATAGTACATAGGTTTTACGTGGTTCGATGACGGTGTGTAAACCTACGTCCACGGGCAGGAACCGAAGAGGTTTTACAATCATGTAATACTGCTACGAACCATAGCTATCTCTTTATAAGCACTAAAAAACATAATAAACTCTAAGCCTATTTGTTATTAATTAAGATGGGCCAAAAAAAGCTCTGTCAGTTAAAACAATCTTTTCGCTTTGGTTTCAGGTCAAGTAGACAACTAAATTAAAGTCACCTTTAAACAATCTCCACCTTGACTTGGAGTTTCTCCAACCGCCAAAAGTTCCTCAGTATCTCTCTCAGTTGTCTCCTTTTTGCCAGATGCCCTGAGGGGACTTTACTTCTTGCGAATATTTACCAAGTTCAAACAGTGCTCAACTTCTCCGTTGGTAGGACCTTTGTCGACATATCAACATGATTGTGTTATGTAGCTATTTTCTAAATAGAAAACATGTCTTCCTGCAGAACATCACAGATAAAATTTAACCTTACATCAATATGCTTGGTTCTCTTGTGATACACCGAGTTTTTAGCCTAACTAAAAGCACTTTGACTATCACAGAATAACACCGGTTTTTCTACCTTCAGACCCAAACTCTTCACCAGACTATGTAACTAGATACCCTCTTACATACCTTCAGTCATTGACATGTATTCCGCCTCAGTCGTCGACAGTACAACCGCAGGTTTGTAAAATAGACTTCCAACTAACCGCACATCTAAATAGAGTGAAGATATAACAAGTTAGTGATTTTCGTTTCATCAAGTCACCCCGTAATCAGAGTTTGCATATCCAACGAGACCATCACCATGACATTTATCATCATATACTAGACAAATATCAGACACTCATTTCAAATATCGCAAGATCCACTTTACAGCTTCCCAATGAGCTTTACCCGGATTAGTCATAAACCTACTCACCACACTAACCGCAAAAGCGAGATCCGATCTCGTACATACCATCGCATACATAAGACTTCCAATTGCACTCGAATATGGAACCTTCTTTATGGAGCTAACCTCTTCATATTTAGACGGTATAGTGCTCCGATCAAATTTAAAGTGTGCCGCCAAATGAGTACTTACCGGTTTGGATTGATCAATAGAGAATGCCTCCAAAAACTTTCTCAATATACTTTTCTTGAGAAACCCATTGTTGTCCTACTTCTCTATCACGCTAGATATTTATACCCAATATTTTTTTTGTCACACCCAGATCCTTCATCTCAAACTCACTCTTTAGTAGAACCTTCACGTCATTAATTACAACCATGTTTTTTAGCTGCAATTAACATATCATCGACATTCAACAACAGATACACAAATGAATTCCTAGAAACTTTCTTCAATTAAATACAGTTATCCAACTGATTACGAGTATATCCATTAGACACCATGAAAGAATCAAATCTCTTGTACCACTACCTCAGAGACTGCTTCAAGCCATATAAAGATTTCTGTCAAATCTCAAAATTCTCAAAAAAAAAATAAAAAAATCTAAAACACTTCCATTATATATTTTAACACATTTGGAATCGACAAATTTCAAATCTAAAACACAAAATATATTGAATTTTATTTCTATATGTTGGGATTGGGTCACCTCAATATTAAATATGATATTTTCCGCTTTGGGTCCAGCTCGTACATATTTATTTTTGGACTTTCTCCAAAAAACTTCATACTAGTGGAGTTCATGTGAGACTTATAAGATGCTAGATTTTCTTCGCATCTTCCAATGTGGAACTTAAGTTTACACCGCAATACTATGCATCCATAAGTGCTACAAGCTCAGAGTATATTATGATAAACATCACAAGTAAAGAGGCCGCGATCGAAATTAATAACGATACATGTCCGAGATATTAAGCATCGGCAACATCTCCAAAACCTCTATCGATTTCTTACCACTAATTCGATGACTACTTGAAGATGGTTTGTGGTTTATATAAGCCCTCCATCGAGTCTTGAGTACAGACCGGATTCTTTGTCCCAATAACACACTCTATCGTCTTATCTTCAGACACATAATGTATATATACATACGTGTGTTTATATATATATATAAACGTTTTGTGTGTAGGGATTGGATTTATTTTTTAGGTCCAGGATCCATGGTATCTTGACTATGTTTTATGAACAAATTAAATTAAAATATTCGTGGGTCCATTCAATAATAATAATAATAATAATAATGATATGAATAGTAATGATAATTATACGCTTCTTGTATTTATTAATATGATGTTTTATTTATTTCATAAAACTCACTTGTTAGCAAATAAATAAAAACTCACTTGTTAGCATGATTAGCTAGCTCTCTATATATAAAATAACTAGATACGGGCATGATTATAAATTTTATTAAGTTGTTAAATTAATTATTATCATTAAAATCTTTTTCCTTTTCATTTAAATTATACATTATTTTTATTTGGATCTCTCCTATTTAATTTATATTTATTTTTAAAAAAATATAATTATATATTTAAAATAATTTTAAATTTTTAATTAAATTATTTAATTATTTTAATTTTAATTTATAATTATTTTTTGCTAATATATTTCTTAGTTACTTGCTAATTATTAAGATGAACAAATTAGTTGAGATAAAAAAAGTAAAAGTTAATAACT